TTATATATAAAAAAGAAGAGGAATCCATAATTAACATTTTTCACACAAAGAACACACCATGCCCATTTGGCTTTGCCAAGGAATTTCACATAACAGTTAAGAAGGAAATCAGGGTCACCTAGGTTGCAGTCAGTTAAGCGTCTGACTCTTGATCTCAGCTCAGGACTTGATCTCAGGGCTGTTGTTTCAAGCTCTACATTGGGCTCTGATGGGCATGAAGTATCTAACAAAATCTGTGCGTGATGGCTACACAGAAAACTATACAATAAAACATCAACCAAAAGGACTGAAATAGACCATCATGAACGGGCAAGGCGCTCAACTTCATCGGCCGTCAGGAAAATAAAAAATGAAGCCACAGTGATCTTTGTCTACCGACCCATTGGCGTGGCAAAAATTAAAAGACAATGCTAAGTTTGGGGGAGGATATGGACGAAACGGAAGTATAAACTGGTAAAATCACTTTAGAAATCGATCAAGCACAATCCACTGGCGCTGAGCTCAGGAAATTCCATGGCTATATGGCTCACAAATTCCACCCCTAGGAAGACACCAAAAGAAATGCACACACCTGTGTGTCGCAAGACACGCACAAGAATGTTCACAGTGTCAGTGTAATAACACAAAACTGGAACCAAACCAAATGCACACGGACGAGAGGATGGATAAACCAACCGTGTCATACCATGCAATGGAAAACCGCACAGACATCAGAATGCAGACAGACCATGGTCCACAGGCAATAGGGCAGGGCGGGGGAGGGGGGCTCTTGCAGACAATGATGAGCGACAGAAGGCAAATGCAAAAGAGGACGCATTCTGTGATTCTATGCCTGTCAAGTTTAAAACCAGGCAAAACGAACCTATAGGATCAGAAGACAAGATGGTGATTATCTTTGCTTGGTGGAGCATAGGGGAGCTCGGGGGTTGCTGGGAATATTCTGTTTCTCTCTGGGCAGCGGATGTAGGGGTGTTCTCTGTGATAACTTGTTGCATTTTTCTCAATGTTATATTCAGTGAAACGTTCCCTTTGATTTTTTTTTTTTTTTAATGTTTCCCCTTAAAGAAGCTAAGGTCTGGGACCAAGGCCAGGGGTAGGGGCCCAGGTTGAGGAGGGAGGCATTCACCTACAGAGGTGGTCCCTGATTTGTCCCGATTCAGACCAGCTAAATCAGCATCATCTGGGAACTTGTCAGAAAGGCAAATTTGGGGTCCCACCCCCAGAACCCATTGAATCAGAAACTAGTCGGGAAGGGGGAGGCTTGGTAGTCTGGGTTTCAATAAACCCTTTAGGGGATTCTGATGCTGCATAGAATTTGAAAATCTCTGAGGAGAGGTGCTAGAGAGGGAGGCTGGTTCTTCAGGCAATTATAGTGTTTGATCTGTGTCACCTGCAGGGTGGAGACCTCGCAGACAACCAGTGGCTTTGCCCTGGGGACAAATCTGTAGGGACAGGAGTGGGATCTCCCAGGTTCTTTCCTGAGCAGATGTCAGCAGCATTCAGCTCTCATGCACGTGTAGACAGACCCTGGGATAGTCCCATTGTACAGGTGGGGAACATCAAGGCTGTGGGGGGAGGAGGTCTTTGCTCAAGGTCAGGCAACTGATGATGGTAAGGACCTCCGGGGATTCCCAACTGCTCAGTCACAGCATTTGGCATGTTGACTTCAAGGGATTTGCTAAATAGGGGAACTAGACAGGAGCTCCCAACAGCCGGGAGCTGGCCAGGTGCTCACAACCAAGACTTGGTTCCCTCCGGTTGCCTAGAAGGTCAGTCTTTGTGTTGAAGTGATCATGTCTCCGTAATCGTGTCTGATCGCTAAGAGAAACACGCACATGGTCCAAACCGCCAAAGAGACGATGTTCCCCACGCAGACTAACACGGGTGACATTACCCATACAAACGCTGGCTCCAGTCTCTCCAACCTCCCCATCTTCTAGACGTGACAGCCAATCACAGAACGACCCCCGTCTCCTGACATCATCCAACCCAGAGCAAAGCCTTGCTGACTTTTTTTTTTTTAATTTTTAACATTTATTTATTTTTGAGAGAGAGAGAGAGACAGAGACAGAGACAGAGACAGAGATGAGCAGGGGAGGGGCAGAGAGAGACACACACAGAATCCGAAGCAGGCTCCAGGCTCCAAGCCGTCAGCACAGAGCCCGACGCGGGGTTCGAACCCACGAACGGTGAGATCATGACCTGAGCCCACGTCGGATGCTTAACCGACTGAGCCACCCAGGCGCCCCCCCCCCCACCTTTTTACCATTTTTTAAATGTACAAGTCAGTGCTGTTAACTCCATTCACGATTTGTGCAATTATCACCACTATCCATCTCTGGGGATTTTTCTATCATCCCAAACCGAAACTCTATCCCCATTAAGCACTGAGTCCCCATTCCCTACTCTTGCCAGCCCCTGGAATCTGCTTTCTGTCTCCAGGCCTATGGGGATATGCTTATATGGGTACAAGTATGTGCTTGAGTCCCTGACTTCAATTCTTTTGTGCATGAAAATCACTTTTCTTGGAACCTTCCCCCAGATCATCTCATACAAGCCCTCGTCCTATATAGGTCCTTTCAAACATCCTCTTACTGAGATACCCCAGGGTTTCCATGGTGTGTGTCCCCGCTCCCTGCAATGGGATGCTAAACCCACATTAGCTCAACTCCTGGTGTCCTGATGGTCCTCAGCTGAGGGACATTGACTGCTATCATCAAGTCTGTTTCCAAAACCAGCCTACACCCCCAAAGCATGAGAAGGTCGGATTCTCTGTCCTCTTGTTACTGGACAGAGGACCCGTTCCAGACTCGGGTTCTGCTGCTTGCTGCTAGGAAGCCAGTACTCAACACACAAGTGTTGGTGGGAAAGGAAAAGGTGCCTTATTGAGGAAGCCAGTGACCTGGAAAGATGGTGGGATAATATCTCAAAGACCACTTTCCTCCGTCCAGGGGGAGCCGGAGGGTTTAAAGGGGAAGGTGAGGGGTGCTTGGGTGGCTCAGTCGGTTAAGCGTCCAACTTCGGCTCAGGTCACGATCTCACAGCTCGTGAGTTCGGGCTCCGCGTCGGGCTTTGTGCTGACAGGTCGGGGCCCGGGGCCTGCTTCGGATTCTGGGTCTCCCTCTCTCTCTGCCCCTCCCCCGCTCGCATTCTGTCTCTGTCTCTCTCAAAAATAAATAAACATTAAAAAAAAAAAATTTAAAGGGGAAGGTGAGGAAAATGGTGCAGCAGAAGCCTGCGGTCGACATCGAATCATTTGTCCATGCAAGGCTTCCCGATTCTTCCAATAATCTGTCAATAATCAAGGCTCTCAGGTGTCTGCGAGGAAAAGCTAGTCCCCAGCCCCAAACAAGCCCCATCCAGATACCTCCCTGCACCGGGAACCCATCACTGAGGACACCAGGGCTAGCGGTGGCCGCTTTCCAGTGTATCTTCTGGAAAGTCTGGTCCGTGGTGCCTCAAGGTCAGCGGTCTGCAGGATCCCGAGGGGAGTAGGCTAGTTCTGCTACAAACTATGGGGTGTAGGCAGCAAGCAACACGCTGGAAGCAAGTTAACCCTAATGACCAGTGTGAGGGGCCCCCAGGTGGCTCAGGTCATGATCTCACGGTTTGTGGGTTCGAGCCCCCCATCGGGTTCTCTGCCGTCAGCGCAGAACCTGCTTTGGCTTCTCTGTTCCCCCTCTCTCTCTGCCCCTCCCCCACTTGTGCTGTCCCTCAAAAACAAATAAACATTAAAAAAAAAAAGGAGAGGAAAAAGAAAGACCCACGTGAGCACCGTCACAATGCCATCGGTACACCCAGGCACGACCCCTCTTCTCGATCTGGGCCAATCTCATCAACAAAATGGTACATTTAATTTCTATTAAAAATGAGAGAGAAGGCGGCCTCTGGGCGCATCTTAAAGACCAAGGACATTGCTAGAGGATCCCTCGTTGACTGCAGAGCCCTCGACTTGGTGACCCCTGTGTTCCCACCTGCCCAAGAAGGAGAAACAACGTCCAGTGAAGGCGGAATGTTGCCGGAAAGGAAGGAGCACGGAGGCGCACTGACGCTGTGATGGCACCGTGAGATGCTCGGGCCGTTCAGGAGAGCGAGGTCCACCTTGAACAACGCGATCCCTCTGCCACCTATGATTCGGTGCGCGATCGCCTAGTTAACCTTCATCTAGCACTGATGGTCATAAGAGGCCCCTCGCTGCCCGGGAACTGAGGCTTGTAAGCTGCGTGCTTCGGACTCGAGTCCTGAGCAGACCCCAGGCCAGCGAGGAGCTCAGCCTGAGGTCTAGATGTGGGTCTATGCAGCTGGGGGGGGCGGGGGGGCTGGGCCCCTGTGACCCCAGCTCCTGAGTCCAGCCCCTAAGGCAGCCCCAGCTCATTCATTCACAAAGACACGGGGGCAGCCATCCACCTGCTGCCCCGTCGGCCTTCATCCCATAGGAAGACCGGCACGGACCCCGAGCCATCACCGGGGCCACGTGTCTGAGCACCCGCCCCGTCCAGGACTTGGGGGGAGACTCGGAGAAGGGACCAGAGGGCGAGCCTGGTGTTGGGGGCCAGCGGGGAGGCTGCTGGACCGACCAGGCGGGAGAGGAGGGGGCTGGACAGGGAGGCGGGGGAAGGGCCCCCAGGACTCGGGGGGAGGGGACGACGCCCGGGGCACTGGCTGGAGGGGCCCTTTCCTGGGCTGGGGACCCCCACAAGGGGCAATGCGGGGTTCCCTGGGCTAGAGCCCCCCGAGGGTGGCACCAAGGCTGTCTGGCCACTGAGGCCCCAGCCCCCAGGCCCCAGCCCAGGGCCTGGGTATCCAGAAGCTGCTCAGTAAGGAAAGGATTACTCCCTCCTGGGACTCCTCCGGGGGCGGGGCTGAGGGTGGGGAGAGCGGGAGAGTCCCAGGACCCTCAGGGTGTGTCTGGGTGGGCACGGCAGGCAGGTGGGATTTAAGGCCCCGGTGGGGCGGGCAGGGCCCCACACGCAGGCGCAGGCGGCGGACCAGCGGGCAGGATGCAAGAGCCAGGCTCCCCTGAGGGTGCGCCTGGGCCTGCGCCAGGGGCCGGGGCTGAGGCTGGGGAGGCCTCCGGGCCTCCAGAGGAGGCCCCCAGTGTTGGGGAGGGCGTCCCGCACCAGGCTGTGGGGACTTCGTGGGGCCGGGACAGAGGGCCTGGTGCACGGCCGCCCCCTGTGAGCAGCGTCAGGGTGGCCCTGGCCCTGGATGGGAGGGCTGGGGGGCCAGGCGAGGTGGGAGCCCGCCTGCCTGGGGCAGCGGCCTGGCTGGGCCTGGGGAGCTCAGCCTGCCTGCCTTCCGCGGCCGTGGGTGCTGGGATCACAAGACAGCCGTCACTGCGCCCATTTCAAAGGTGTGCCCGCTGAGGCCCCGACACAGGGCACAGAGACTTGGGCTGGACCGCGAGAGCCAGGGCCCCACCCCAGGGCGTCGGGTCCAGCTGCCACCTCTCATGCACAGCCGTGCCTCCCACCTGCTCGTCGGGGCCTGGCCCGGGCAGGGGGAGGGTCTTTGGGGGGCGGGGGGCCGTCTGTGGGGCTTGTCTGAGCCCGTCTCTCCTCGGGTCAGGCCCCCCGTCAGCCCGAACGCTCCCGAGGCCCCGGAAGAAGCGCACCGTGTACCTCAAGGAGCAGCTGCAGGAGCTGGAGAGACACTTCTGGGCCAACCGGTACCCGAGCTACCAGGAACGCGTGGCCCTGGCAGCCGGGCTCAACCTGGACGAGCACCAGGTGCAGGTAGGACCCCCGCCCCCTCCGTCCCCACTGGCCACAGGGTCCACTAGGAAGGTGGCACTCCTCCGGCCGGACCACCTGCCGTCTGTCCCGGGCTACAGGGGAGAAGACACGCCAGAGGGTCCGAGGGCTCCCTTGGGTCACAGGGCTAGCAAGGGGCCCCCTGTGGGGACTCAGGGCCGGACCCCAGGCTCACGGCCACCCTGTGCTGCGCGAACCCGCCGACATGAGCCCGCCCAGACTGACGGTTGGCTGGGTGTCGGGGCACCAGAGCTCAGGGCCTCTGGGAAGGCGGGGGACCCTCTGAGGCAGGCCCCTTCCTGGCCCCTGGGCTCCCGGTGTCCAAGTCCCGCCCCCACTGCCCCCTGCATCCTCGGGGGACCTTGAATTGGGCTCCGGGGGCCCTAGGGAGAGCTCTGCGGCTGCCTGTCTCCTGAGCCCCCCACACCTGGGACAGAGGCTTGTAGGTGCCCCTGCCTAGCCCGTTTACCCCTCCGCCTTGTCCCCTTGGTCCCTCCAGGTGTGGTTCAAGAACCGCCGGGCCAAGCACTCCAGGCTGCCCAAAGGGCGAGGTCGGGGAGCCAGCCCAGCGGCGCCCGGGGGCCGCGGAGCCGGCGTCCCCCAATGTGTCCCTGCCCCTCCCCCCGTCCTTGTTCCCGCCCGTGTCCCTGAGCACGCCCCGGTCGGGGTCCCTGTCCCTGCTGGCCCCGCGTTCCCTGGGGGCCCAGGCGCCTGTCACCCCGCTCCGCACAGCCCCCGGGGGGGGGGCCGGCGCCCCCCCCGCGGCAGAGCCCGGCACCTGCAGCCTGAGCGCCGCCCCGCGGGCCCAGCAGGGCTTCCAGGGGTCCGTCCAGGCTGCACCAACCCCGGCTCCCGCCCCCGCCCGGCTTCAGGGATGCTCCGGCTCAGACATCTGGCCAGACGCCGGCTGCGTACTAGCCCCCAATTTCACAGCGGTCGTCTCCCCCCAAGACCCCTTGGAGGGATCCCCTTTCCCCTTGATGGCCCAGTCCCAGGAGGGAGAAGACCCTGCAGAGGACACAGACTCGGACTCTGCTACTGAATCTATAGGCGAATCTGTCTCCGAAAAGCCCTGCAGTTCCCACGGGGCCAGAGGGGACTAGGGTGTCGTCGGCTTGCGCGCCCGTCGCGTCCACGTGGGTGCGGACCTGGCCGGGGGGTCGGGCTGCACACCGGATCATCAAGTCCTCCTGTCATCCCACCTGTGGAGGCGGCATCTTGTGGTCACCGTGTGGCCACCGGACATCGCGTGGCTCAGGTGTCCCCGCATTTAGGGCGCACGTGGGCGTTTCGGTGGGTTCCCAGGTCTGGCGTGGAGCTCCTTGCTCCCAGCGTCTGTTTCGCGGATGCTCGGAGCGCTTCCTCTGCAGGCCTGGGGCAACCTCATTGGGAATTTAATCGAAATCGCATCAAATCCATAAATGGTATGAGGACGAACCGACATCTTTCCAACAGGGGGCTTTCCAACCTGAGCATAGAACTCAACTCGTTCATTTGGTGGTTTGCAAAGACGCTCCGCGAAATGTTATTTAACCGCAGAGGTCTCGGGTGCATCTTTCTGGAGGGTGGTTTTGTAGCATTTTTTATCTTCACGGAGCCTGACTTTTCAGATGATATGTAAACACTTGTTTTTAGTTTTTATTTATTTTTTTTTTTTAATTTTTTTTTCAACATTTATTTATTTTTGGGACAGAGAGAGACAGAGCACGAACGGGGGAGGGGCAGAGAGAGAGGGAGACACAGAATCAGAAACAGGCTCCAGGCTCCGAGCCATCAGCCCAGAGCCTGACGCGGGGCTCAAACTCACGGACCGCAAGATCGTGACCTGGCTGAAGTCGGATGCTCAACCGACTGCGCCACCCAGGCGCCCCTAAACACTTGTTTTTAAATCCATTTGTCCTGTATGTAGGATTCACTGCTGTAGTTACTTTGTATCCAGGCACCTGGTTCGGTATTTTTAATCCTGAGGATTTTCCAGGACCTTGTTTGTGGATTGATAATTTGGAAATTAATAAAGTTCATGGTCACCTTGGAAATGTTTTCCTGCAGAGCCGGCTGGTGTTATGCCCTTCTGTATACTGAAGCCCCCCCTCCCAACTCTCCTGGAGAAACCCCCTCACTCCTTCTTTCTGCCGCTGTCTCTTCCCCCTCCTTTCCACTTCTTCCTGCCCCCCCACCCCCCCATGGCCGTCCTGGCCCCGGGGGTCTCCCCACAGCTGCTTCTCTGACCCCATCCTGGTTCCATTTAGCAAATGCTCCAATCCTCTTAGGCCAGACCGGCCTCGGCAGAGCAGAGAGGGAATTAGATCAGATTTGGGGGAGGGGTGCTCCTGTGTCAGGCCCTGGAGGGGAGTGTGGGGGTCGTGGAGACCCGGCCAGGATGTAGTGAAAACCCCTCCTTATCAGACACCGACACCCCAACCCAGTCGTCCCCGGACACAATGCAGGGAGAAATCTAACTTAGCGTCCATCCCAGCCCAGGCGGGAGCTGAGACTTCCAGAGAGTCCCTGAGGACTTCCCGAGGTGGGGCGAGGGATGGAGGGGTAGGAGGAGTCAGGTAAGATTCAGACTCACCCACCGGGCAGGGGGAGGGAGGCTGGTGTCCCCCGGAGCCACCGATTGGCAACCGGATGCATTTCATAACAATGGAGACAGGTTGCTTTTGCCCGGACCGGCTGCCCAGAAAGTGAGTGGCTTAAGAAACACTGATCCCTCCCGTCTTTACCTTGTCAATTCCCTTTTAGTTTTATCTAAGCGGCCCCAGCAGCCCTGCCCCCTCTGAAACCAGCGAACTTTGTCACCCCCAAGGAAGTTTTCCGAGGCTCTACACATTCCCAGGCTGTGTCCAGCACCATCCCCAGTGGAAGCATCTGGACTTTCCGCTCAGCTAAGGAAGGAGAGGGGTGGGTGGTAACATCTCAAAGGTGGGTCTTGGGACTTCCCTGTATCTATGTCCCCCAAGAAAGCACCAGAGCAAGACTTTCTCTTTTTTCCTACCTATTGCAAAAAAAAAAAAAAAAAAAAAAAAAGGCACTGTTAATCACTCCAATATATGGCTAGTTGGGGCGTCTGGTGATTGAGTGTCCGACTTGAGCTTCTGTCTTTGGGTCAGGTACGATCTCACCGTTGGTGAGTTGGAGCCCTGCATCTGGCTGGCTTCACACAGCCCGCTTCAGATCCTCTGTCCTGCCCCCCCGCCCCGCCCCTCCCCTGCTTACTCTCTTTCTCAAAAATAAACATTAAAAATATTTGTTAGAATCAAAAAATGAAAAACCCTCCAACTATATGGCTAGTCAACACGGTTGATCTGTTGGGACCCATGGTGACCCCTAGGATCCCGAGTGATCCGTCTCTGGTGGTTTTCGTGGTGATCCTCACAGGGCCGTGGGTATTCGTGGCAAGGTAAGAACCTACTGTGTGTCTTACCCTGGAGAAGGTGAGACTTTTAGATTGAGCCGCAGCGTATGTAGGAAGAGAACTCAGGATGTATGAGAAGAGTTCACTGTTTGTACCTTCCACAAATGGGTTGCGTTTAAGAGACTTCATTCTGTTCCTAGAGGTGGTGCAGGTACACGGGTGTTTCTCTTGTGGGGACTGGAGGGAAGGGAGAAGGAAACCTGGCAAGATCTGGAAGGAGGGGGCCATTTGCCAGAAAGAACAGACGGGGGCTGGGGGAGGTCTGCATCAGCGGGCAAAGGGGTAACCCGGTTTGAGATATCCAGGAAAACGGCGCGGGATATAGTCAGCCCCAGAGACACAAGACGCCCCGTTGTCCTGGACGAGCAAAGTGTGGGAAAGATGCAAAGAGCACAGCTACTGTCCGGGGGTCTGGAGGAATGATCGCCAATGTCTAGTCTCGGTTTCCACGGAGCTCCATTTGTCGGATGAAAAGACAAGGAATCGGAGAAAAGCGAAGAGGGAACCCATTTCCCAGAGGGGACAAACTGAGTCTCTCAGGGATGCTGAGGATGAGGCACTGCTTGAGTCGGACACAGTTGTCACCTGAGACCCGGGTGTGCTGGCTTCTCGTCCCAAGTGATGCTCACGCTTTGGGAACCACTGCTCGAAATCATGGCTCTCAAACGTTGCCACCCGTTAGGGCCGCCTGGGACTTTTAATGTTCCCATACCCCCCGCCAGTTAAGCAGTGTCTCTAGGGGTGGGACCCGGGCGCCCCTATATTTTAAAGCTCTCAGGGGAGAGGCGCCTGGGTGGCTCAGTCAGTTAAGCGTCTGACTCTTGGTTTTGGCTCAGGTCGTGATCTCATGGTTCATGAGTTCAAGCCCCGCTTCAGGCTCTGTGCTGCCAGTGCAGAGCCTGCTTGGGGTTCTCTCTCTCTCTCCCTCTCTCTCTGCCCCTGTTGTGTTCATCCCCCTGCCTCTCAAAATCAATAAACTTAAAAAAAAAAAAAAAAAAAGGCTCTCAGGGGATTCTCATGTGCACAGCTTGAGATCTGTTCTCAGTCAAGTCCCTGCCCAGTAAACAGACTCAGGGAGTTGAAATATTGCCGTTAGCATTAAGACCATACAGACTTTATTTCACTAAACGAAAATTCAAAGTGGCTGTATCTGGGGCGCCTGGGTGGCTCAACTGGTTAAGTGTCTGACTTCAGTTCAGGTCACAACCTCACGGTTCGTGGGTTCAAACCCCGTGTCAGGCTCTGTGCTGGCAGCTGGGAGCCTGGAGCCTGCCTCAAATTCGGTGTCTCCCTCTCTCTCTCTCTCTCTCTGCCCTTCCCCCGCTGATGTGCTCTCTCTCAAAACTAGACATTAATGGCTGTATCTAACTGTCCCTTTTGCTAAAATCTAAAAAAAAAAAAAAAAAAAAATCAAGTGCCACCAAAATAAAGCTTTTTTTCATGGTTGTTGTTTTTATAGTAAATGAACACAGTATCAATTTTGCTTGGAATTTTTTTTTTTTAATTAAAACCATTTTTTTTTTAACTCTTCACCTGAAATTCCTCGAAATAAAATGCCTAACAGGAAATAACTCTAAAGGAGCGCAGCTTTGAGGTCGTTGTTACGGTAAACCACAGGCGGAGAGACACAGGTCAAATCAAACCTGAGGTTCATTCAGGGACGCCCTGGGGGACGGAGAGAAACGGGGTGCGCCCATACCTGTTGCGATGCTTGGAGGCCACCAGGGGGCACCCCCACACCACCGCTTCCGAGTTGGACCTTGGGAGAGACGCACCACGTTCAATGGGAGAAAAGCCAGAGGTAACATAATGTTGTATTTGTTTCCGTTAGTATGATTTAAAGCTAAAACCACACTGCTAGGAAATACTGATGTGGCAAAGATTTGGAACCATGGCTGGTGGGAACTTAAATCCGCTTTGCAAAACTGTGGACACACATCTTAGGGTCTGGCGATTCTAGCCCTCGGGTGTATACCCCACAGATACGTTCACCAGGAGATGTGCAAAAAGATACAGGCAAACGTGCGTTAAGAATTATAAACCTGGGGCACCACCTCCTGGGTGGCTCAGTTAAGCGTCCTCCTCTTGGTTTTGGCTTAGGTCATGAGCTCATGGTTTGTGAGCCCAGGCCCCGCATCAGGCTCTGGGCTGGCAGCTCAGAGCCTGCTTGGGATTCTCTTTCTCCCCCCACCTCTTTCTCTCGGCCCCTCCCCCACGCGGGCCCCCCCCCTCCGCGCCCTGAAAAATAAACTTAAAAACCATACACACAAGAAAAAGAATTGTAAACCTAAACGAGAAGCTCCCCAAATGCCCGTCAGCAAGATAATGGATTAAATAAGTTGTGGTACATGCACCCAGTGAGATACTGTGCGTGAGCTGGAATCTCAGGAACGTAGTGATGAGCAAAGGGGGCCAGGCACAAAATGTTGCTTTGCCACTGAACTTCCGGGGAGCACAAAACTTGAGAAGAGGCTGCCCACTTTCCAGAGTGACTTACAATGTTGCGTTTCTGCCAGTGCTATGGGCTGAAGTTTGCGCCTCTTTCAAATTCTTATGTGGGGAAAACCTAATGCCCACAGTGATGGGATTAGGAGGTGGGGCCTCTGGGAGGTGATGGGGTCTGGAGGGTGAAGGATTATGAATGGGCCCTTAGGAAAGAGGCCCCAGAGAACTAGCTTCCCCTCTTCTGCCCTGTTCAGAGGCAAGCAGAAATCTGCCGCCGGGAAGGGGGCCCTCACCTGATCATACTGGC